ACGCACAGTCTCTGGGAAAAGACAGATTGCAATTTAAAAGACTGTCCAGGGGAACCAGCTTAGCCACAAACCCCACCAGAACATCAAAGCTCAACATTCAAATAAAGAATTCACCTTGCCTCACCCTGTACCTTGTTCTGTTTGTTTGCATATTAGTGTCTATGCACGCGGTGTGGGATTTCAGATGGGTTCTTACCCCTTTAATGATGTTTATACTTTTGTTTTGCTGAGTCAGTGAATTTACAACAAAACTAACTCCTCAATTTTCATTAACTCAAGCTATCTTGTGCCTTAATAGTTTCACAAATGGTCAACATATATTAACTTGAAAAGCACAGCTTTTTAAAGATTCAAGCTTTGTCATACCAACCTCAGAACTAAAAAGAGGAATTTATTCACCCCTCTAGACTTGGTTGTAACAAATTCGTAACGCTTCTCTCCTGTTCCACCATCAAATTGTTTAGGGTTGCCATGGTATGGAGCAATAACTAGCAAGCATCAGCAGAATTAATTTAGACAGCTGGGTGGGGGGGAACAAGAGAAACAAATGCAAAGCCGTTTGCTACCTTTTCCAGTTAGCAAATCAGGAAATACTACAGGAAAATGGGTCTTCAAATAACACTGAGGAAGAATGCAAGATACAAGATGACATTAGACAATCTGCAGATTAAGTGGCAAAATAACTTCAATGTCATGGTGTAGTTGGTTGGCTCGCCGAGCTGGTTTGTTGTTCCGCAGACGTTTCATTACCCTGCTGGCTAACATCATCAGTGCAGCCTCCGATGAAGCGCCGTTGTGTTTTCCCGCCTGTCATTTAAAGTCTGGTGTCCGTTGAGCTGGATTACCTCACTTCTAGTTTTCCTTCACAATGGAGTGTATATGGGGTCTAGCTCTATATATTTATTGATGGCTTTCTTGTAGAGAACCAGACCTCTAGGAATTCCCGTGCTTGTCTCTGCTTCACTTGTCCTAGGATCCTGGTGTTGTCACAATCAAATTGGTGGTTTTCCTTATCCTTGTGGATGGAGATGAGTGAGTATTGGTCGTGTCGTGTTTTTTTTTTGTTGCCAATTGATGTTCGTGTACTCTTGTGGTTAATTTCCTTCCTGTTTGTCCAATGTAATGTTTGCCGCAGTCTTTGCAGGGGATCTGGTATACGACATTGGTCCTGTCCATAGTGGGTAACGGGTCTTTGGTTCAGGTGAGCAGTTGGCGTAGGGTTGACCCCATATACACTCCATTGCGAAGGAAAACTGGAAGTGAGGTAATCCAGCTCAACAGACACCAGAGTTTAAATGACAGGCAGGAAAACACAACAGCACTTCATCGGAGGCTGCACTGGTGATGATACCCAGCACGGTAATAAAACATCTGCCGAACAACGAACCAGCTCGGTGAGCCAACCAACCACAACATCCACGACCTGAGCTACAAATCTACTCTAAAACCTTAGAACTTCAATGTCAATAATTCAGCTAATGCATTTTGGTGGAAAAACAGAAACAATTTAGAAAATAAGAATAAGTTGGAACAGAAGGATTGCACAGAACACATCTTGTTATTTTCTTTTTTGGATTGTGAATTTTAAAAAAATGAAGATTCTGCTTTAAACCAAGGAGACTGGGCAGAGACAGCTGCAGTTTTAAAGATTCTGTTTACTGAAGTGCATTTTGAGTTGTATGCAGTGTTACTTGTTCTTGGAACATCGAGCAAAGGCAGGCACCAAGAGCTCATGGGTTCTGAACTAAGGGAACAATGGCTTGAAAACAAAAATTTTGATTGGTCCCTAACCAGGTGATCATGGCTTGATAGGGGCCAGTGCAGTAGAGAACCACACAGCCTGTGAAGAGAAGGCATCAACAAACCTCATCTCCATGTCTCTGTCTCTTCTGTGTAGAAGTATTATAATGTCTCCAGCAACAGCTGGCTGGCTTCCACTCTTCATTTTCTGCAAATCCCTTGTTGAAGGAGGAATAAACACTTCCAAAGGCAGTGAAAAAGCAACCTCACATCCAGCAAATGAAAGAGAGCATTGGTGTGCAAACAACCTTGTGTCAACAGCAAAGAACTAAAAGGAAAAAAACATCAATTCCTGTGGTCCAGGCTGGTTCCATCAAACTGCTTCTCTGAACCTTTTTTGTTTTTGCCCTTAATATCCATGTTATGTCTGTCTTTGTGTGTCTGCTTGTGAAGGAGTTGCGGGGGGAGGGGCGTGGAAAGAGAGGAGAAGAGCTGTACTTAACAAGGGGTTGAATTTAAGCTATGGAGAGTTGTGAGTTAGCTATTCATACTTCTGAATTGTCATTAGTTAAATGCAATTTGTTCAAAACAGTTATTTTCTTATTACGTACAGAAATGTGGTGAGAATTTTCTTTTAACTTACGTTCATCAATCAGGGAAATTGGTGACTTTAGATAGTTTCATATTTGTGATGGTTTCAGAAATAGTGCGGCTTGATTTTCAGTGGTAACGAGGAGTCTAGCAAAATTGGAACCAACCGAGAAAGCTTTCCTCCTGGAGTCACAAAGGAGGATGGTTGTGATTTTTGGAGGCTAATTATCTCAGTCCTACGACAACAGGAGTTCTTTGAGATAGATGCTTTCTAATCAACCTGTTGAGATGTTATTTACACACCTCTGAGCCAGGAAGGCCAGGTTCAAGCTCCACCTACTCCAGAGGCAAGGATGCTACCACTGGAACCCGGAGTTCTTCAAGGTACTATCAGGGGCTGTAGCACCTGCATCTGCTTCATCAGTGGCTGTCTTTCCTTCCCCCATAAAGGTCAGAATTGGGATGCTATCTGTATATTACAGATGTTCGCCATTCATCCTCAGATACCAAAGCAGCCTGTGTCCATGCACCAAGACTTGGACAATATTCATGCTTGATCTCATAAGTAGCAAGTAACACTTCCGCAATTCAAGTCAGGCAATCAGTGTCTCCAACTAGAGAGAATCCAACTATCTTCCTTTGACATTCAACGGCATTACTATCATCGAAACCTCCACTTTCAACTTCCTGGAGGTTGCCATTGACCAGGAATTGAACAGATTCACATAAATACTGTGAATATAAGTACAGGTTAGAGGTTAGGAATTCCACGATAACTTACCTCCTGATTCACGAAGACTCTCCACCATCTACTAGGTACAAGTCAGGAATGTGATGGATATACTCTCCACTTGTATGGATGAGTGCACCTCCAATAACACTCAAAAAGCTAAACATCATCTAGCAGTCCACTTCATTAGCATCCCATTCACCACCTTCAACATTCAATCCCTACAGTACTAATGCATGGTGGCAGCACTGTGTACCATCTGCAAGGGGAACTGCAGGAACTCATCAAACCTCCTTTGACAGCATGTTCCAAACCAATAAAATGCACCACCAAGAAGGACAAAGGCAATGGATGCATGGAAGCACTAACATCTCTAGGTTCCCCTCCAAGCCATGCACCATCCTGACTTGAAACTATATCACTGCTCCAGGATCAAAATTCTGGAATTCCATTTCTAATGTCATTATTGGTGTACACAACCCACTGAGAATACAAGGTGACTCACTACAGTCTTCTCCATGATAATTAGGGATAGCAAATTACACCTGTCTAACCAGAAACTCTCATATACCATATGATTTTTATTAACTTCTATGATGTGCAGTAAAATTCAAATACTTCCCAGCCATTTCAAATGTTGGAATTATTAGACTTCAAGTGGGTACAAACATTAGTTTTTCCCTCATTTACCTTTGTGTCACATGTAGACAGGATGGTTAAGAATGCATTTAGCACGCTTGCCTTCATTGCTCATACCTTTGTGAGTATGGGAGTTAGGAAGTCATTGTGACATTGTTCAGGATGTTGGTGAAGCCTCTTCTGGAGTACTGTGTTCATTTCTGGGTGCCGTTATAGGAAGGATATTATCAAGCTGGAGAGGGTTGAGAAAAGATTTACCAGGCTGTTGCCGATAATGGAAAGTTTGAATTATAAGGAGAGACACAGACTTTTTTTTTCCACCGGAGCATAGAAGGTTGAGGGGTGACCTTATAGAGGTTTTTAAGATTGCAAAGGGTATAGATAAGGTGAATGGTAGGTATCTTTTCCCTGTGGTGGGGAATTTCAAGACTAGGAGCGAAAAGATTTTTTAAAAATTGTTCATTTAAAAACAGACAAATAATACAAAAATCATACTCCAGCAATTTCACCTTTGACATTCTCAGTTGATGCCAAACTTCAAAGTTGCCTCAATATCAAGGGCAGTTACTCATCTCTGGCATTCACCCTTGATTCCATGGTTGGACCAAAGCTTAAACAAGCTCTGGATCAAATTTGCTGAGAAAAGACAAACTAAGCAATAATCTTCTGACTGATAATGTCATGCATCATTTGAAAGCAATGTCAACACCACCAACCATCAGGTGGATGACAGTAAACTGATGGGGTTGTAACTGGCCAGATGGCAATTTTCATACTTTGTGATCAGGATATACTTGGGAAATTTGTCACATGGTCAGATAGGGTAGTCCTACTGGAATACTTGGCTCGGTGTGTAGCCAGTCCTGGAGCACCTGCATTCAAGACAATAGCTGGGATACAGTCAGGGCCTATCAGCTGTGGTTTGTTCAGGGTATTTAGAGATTTGTTGCTATTACCTAGAGCTAACCAACATGGTTCAAGACCTGATTGTGTGCTGCTGGGGACTTCATAAGGCAGAGATGGATTACGTACTTCTGAAAAGTAAACACATTTACCAATATGCCCAGAGTAGAAGCACAGACAGTAACATGACAATCAGATAATGTATTTCCTGATTTTGATTGTGGAGTGAAATTTAGTTAGGACATTAGAAAATGCTCCTGCTCCCCTCTAAAGTATGCCATAGCACTGTTTCATGTAAACTGGAAGTGCAGATCAGCCTTAGCTTAAAAGGTCTCATCTGAAAAACAACCCTGCGAGTTCAGCATGAAATGTTTCAAAATAACAGGAACACAAAGACTAAAGTTTTTCTCTTTTGTTTTTATAAGAACATATTCTGTACAAAATCCAGGTGCTACTCAGTGGCTCTTGAAAAACTGCTTCTGTGAAAGCCAGTGATATGAGACTATAGTGAAGTCACCGTGGAAACGGGAGCTCCTGCTGGAATGGTCCCTCTTTTCTATACAGGAGAGAATGTAGACATGTTAAAAACAAACTTTATGTATTTAGTGTCTCTAACGTGTAAAAAAAAGTGTTCAACTTGCTTCGAAAGATCAACAAAACTTGAGTTCGAGGATTTTTTTTTTTTTTTCTGTTCAACCTGTGTAGAGATGTTGACATCTCTGGAGCAGGATGGGCCCGAACCTGTGCGTCCTGGTTCAGGGGTATAGAATATCCTTTATTGTCACTTGTACTCCAGTACAGAAGTATACCAGTACAGTGAAAAGTTTTTAAGAATGGCTGCCTTTTAATGGCACCATCTTAGGTACAAGTTGTAGGGCTGGCACGGTGGCTGTGGTTAGCACTGCTGCCTCACAGCGCCAGGGACCTGGGTTCAATTCCACCCTTGGGCGACTGTCTGCTTGGAGTTTGCATGTTCTCCCCGTGTCTGCGTGGGTTTCCTCTGGGTGCTCTGGTTTCCTCCCACAGTCCACAGATGTCCACAATCCACAATAGGTGGATTGGCCATGCTAAATTGCCCGTAGTGTTCAGGGACGTATAGATTCGGTGGGTTATTGGGGATGGGTCTGGGTGGACTTGTTAGGCCAAAGGGCCTGTTTCCACACTGTAGGGGATTCTATGATCTTTTATGAATATAACCACTACACCACAGTTAAGGGATAGTTAGCTGTGGCGACTATACCCTTTAGTAAAAGGTTAGTTTTAAGCAGTAAACTGGTGGAGGAGTATAAAGGGGGAATTTTAGAGTGGGACATGGTTACCATCACTTGAGCTGCCTATCAGAAAGAAGGAATGCATAAATATGGGAGACTACAGAACAGAAAATTCAGAGGTTTGGCACTGGAGGCCATGAAAAATGAGGATGCAGCCAAATGAGAAATTTACATAAAAAGGACTAAGATAAAACAACCAGTTTATATATTAACAGCAAATGTCTATCAGAGATGAGGTGGAAAGGAAAGAAGCACAACTCATGGAGATTGCTCACTATCATTTTCTCAAGTCTTTTAAGGCAAGGATCTCACGTCTGAACTAACAAATCCACTGGTAGAATCAGATACATCTTTCTCCCCTCCAGTTTCCTCCCCATATATTCTAGGGATATTGACTTGCATTGGACAAGTCTCAGAATGTTGGCAGTTCTTCAGAATGTATAACATGGCCACCGTCCCCACAGATAAACCTATGCTGTGAACTGCCATTAGAAAATTTGACAAAATACAGTGCAACTGAGACTTCAGGTGTTCAGAGTTATCTATTCCAATTCCTATCCTCAGAGCACCAAAGCCAGTTATGGAACTCTGCAACACAATGAAAAAGCAACCACCACAAGCATTGATCTAGATCAGTCTGGTGTGACTGGTTCAGGCCCTTCCTAGCGAGTCGACTTACGAAATAAGTTCTCAGTGCTAACATTCAATGTCTTTTCCACCATCATCTTCTTTATCACATTGCATCACGCAAGATCACTGTGAATACAGAATACTCTTTGCCCTATGCACCCTTACCACTAATGAGGTGGAGAATCAGACAAAAGGTGAAACTATCTCCAATTCCTTTTCTTCCCACTCCAACACCCACTACTCTCCATATAACTAGTCTGAATTAAATACAATTGGAAAATGAAATTGCACTGGAACAGCCCACAAGGACTGCGAGCCCATGAGGGTTATTATTACCAACAGGAATGCTGTTCTGAATATGTGTAATTCAAGGGTATTTTACCCAGCCATTTCCACTTATTTGTTCATCAACACCCTTTCAGACAGTGACTGACAAGCTCGTGACTATAAATCATTATTTTTGCCCTACAGATTTGGCAGAGAAAAAAAATCATTTAGAAACAGCACGCAATTTTCAAAGCACAATTCGTAAATCTATTGAGAGATTAATTTTCTTTTTAAAACTGCATGGGTCAGGACAAAAGGTCAGCTTGCTTTAATAATTCTATAAGTTAGGAGGGTAGTCATTTGATTCCAAGTTGCCTGATCCCAAATATAGGGAAACAGTTAAGTGGGGTTCCCACATTCTAGCACTATTCAGGAACTTCTGCTGGCAAGTGAGCAGGCACACTTGACATCAGATGACAAATGAATTTCAAAGCCTCCAGTGTCAAACATTCTAGGCTAACATCTAAAATTTACAACTGCGCAAAGTATCAGAGAGTAGGCTGTACCAATAGACAAGTCTGCATACAAACACCATCAGAAAACAGTTGTGTGGGGTTATGAAAGGAAAACCAGGGCCTTGTGTTGTCAACTGGACACCATGTTAATAAACTAAGACACTTGAATATCATGTGGCATACATGCAATTTCACTGCTGCCCTAAAACAATATTACTTAGAATCAAGTGCTCTTAAAAGGAAACAACCCGCTCCTTACCTTCCCCACGCACTCCCAGCTGCCATCATACATAAATCCCGACCCATAGGAGGAGGAAAAGTACTCCAAATCCCATGAAAAGAGATGCCACTAAGGAAATCAGCAATTCTTTGTAGATATCCCTTGTGTATTTGGTAGATGTCACCTCATAGCTAATAAAATAATTCAGGAAAACTAACTGAGGATTGAATTTAGTTTCTACAGTTTGGGCTCAAGTGGAAGTATTGCACGTCAATGAGTTATCATTGCAGATTCAGAAAATCTTCTCTTTACAGACTATGATATCTCAGAAGAGATGCTTTATCTGGACGTAGGAGTTATACCATGCAATACAGAGTTGCTACGACTAGAGCAGAAACCTGGCTTGTGCCTTTAACGCCAATTGGCACATTCAAAGATTAACTGAGAAAATTTTTTTATAAATGTGAGATCTGCTTGTAAATCCCTGGCTTCAATAAAACATTTACATTGCAAAAAATACATCTCAACTTAGCAGAAGTACATACAGACATTCCACAAATCAAATTTAACACTTAAAATAAATTCCACTCTCTTCACTTCTCCAATATTCCCCATTTATTCTGAAGTCAGTGCTTCAGACTGAAACATGGTTTCACAGTTCATTGCCATCCTGCACACAATTATTTGTGTAAACAGACATGGTGTGACATGTCAGAGCTGTACAGCACAGAAACAGAACCTTCGGTCCAACTTGTCCATGTCGACCAGATATCCTAAATTAGTCCCATGTGCCAGCATTTTACCCATCCTTTCAGCTATACAACAGGATAAAGTCAAAGCCTGATCCTATGATCCACCCAAAGCCTACATAAGCATTACCAGACAAGGACATGCTGACTGTGCCTTCACCCACATGTACAGCCCAAGTGAAAAGGTTGAATACTGCAACCCACTCCAAAGATCTGAACTAGGGAACCTAGGAGCCATTCTATATTTACAATACCTTAACATCCAGTTACTGAATACTTTTAAGGTTTTTCAAAATAATTTTGACAATATCAGCATCCTGAACATGCAGTGCCCCAACGTGTTTCACAGGAGCATCACAAAATAATCCTTGGCACTGAGTCCCCATTAAAGGCAGATAATCAATTATCGGGGAGGCAATGGCCACGTGGTATTATTGTTGGACTGTGATTCCAGAGACCCAGGTAATGTTCTGGGGACCTGGTTCGAATCCCACCATGAAAGATCATGTGAGTTTGAATTTAATAAAATATCTGGAATTAAGAGTCTACTGATGACCACGAATCCATTGTCGATAGTGAACTAGATGGGTTTTTCCCCACTAATGCCCTTTAGGGAAGGAAACTGTCATCCTCACCTGGTCTGCCCTACACACGATTCCAGATTCACAGCAATGTGGTTGACTCTTAACTGCCCTCTGGGCAATTAGGGATGGGCAATAAATGCTGGTCTAGCCAGCAACACCCTCATCCTGTAAAGGAATTATAAAGACAGCCTGGACAGAGAGATGGAGGTTTAAGAATGCTTTGAATAAGGAAAGAACAGCCAACAAGTTGAGGGAGAAAATTACATAGTTTAGGGCTTAGGCATCTGATGATCCACCGCTCTACAATGTAACAATTAATAATTGTGATGCTCAAAAAGTCATTAGATAAATGCTGATATGAGGTTATATTGCTAAATCAGAGTCAAGGCAAGGCCCCTGTGATGAAGGTGGAAACAAGAATTCTTTTAAAAAAAAAGTGTATGGCTTTACCAGGACCCCATGCAAATAATCAAGTACAGGGTGATGGGTGAACAAGACTTATTATTAGTGAAGAAAACAGACAGCAGAGTTTAGAGTACCTCAAATTTACACAAGGTAAAATTCTGGAAGCTGGCAAACAGTGTATTTGAATAGTTTGGGGTAACAAAAATTAGACGAGGGTTTCAGCAGTAGATAAGCTGAGGTGGGGCACAGCTATCCCAGCAGTGGACATAAGCAGCTTTGGTCACAGCATAGGTGTGGTCAATAGCTCATCATAGTGGCAAATATGACAAGGTTGCAAATTGACTGGTTCCGTCTCAACCAGTTGCTAGGAAGAGAGATGAAGTTGGTAGCTAGGAAACAGTCATAATGTGGACTGATCACACTGGTTTAGGTCTTCCTAATACTTAATTGGAGGGGAATTTCTGCTCATTCAGTAACGGATGGTGTACAAACAGACTGACCATCTAGCAACAGTGGATGAGTTCAGAGCTGATATTTAGGTACAGTGTTGTCAGCATGAAAACTGTTCTTTTGGATGGTGTCAAAGCACAGCAGACAGATGAGGAATTAGCTCATGTAGCATCAAAGAACTTTCCCTACAAAACTCCAAAACAGTACCATAACCTCAACTTCCCATTCTGACATGACTGCTCATCCTCTCAGCATGACAATTGCTATCAAAGGCTGCCACCCAAAAAAGTAAACCATGGTGAAAGTTGAAGACCTTATTTGAACCGTGGGAGAACCTTCTGCCCATTGGTTTATTTCTGAACCTCAGTCCCAGCGAAAGGTGAATAGGCTAGCACATTTGAGTCATACAGCCATCATGATTTTTTTTTCAAGCCAGTCATGGTCTGAAAAGGATACACGAAGAACCATGCAGTAAAGAACATCCCAATTGCAAGAAGAACTACTGTCAAATGTGGGAAGACAGCAGGGTTGACTGGACTTGTATATCTGGTCATAGCCTCCAGCTCCTGAAAAACAAAAATGCATGTCCAATATACTATAGCAGTGATATATTCAGACCTTGTCCAAGATGCAATTCTTCATGTATCAGGTTAGACAGTTATCAAAAAGATCTCTGGACTATTGAAAGCATCATTACAAAAGGCAATACTGTCCTTAGATTGTGTTCATGGATATCAGCTATCAGTAGTAAATGAACAGGAATTAGAGATTTACTACACAGCAAGAGACCTTTCAGTGCAATTCATGGTGTCACCAAATAATCATCCAGTTTAATCCGATATTTAAGCTCCCGATCTGTAACTGTCGAGTACAGTACCTCAAGTACATCTTAAAATGCTGCATGTGTTTTTGTCTCTACTACACTTTCAGGCAGTGAGTTCCAAGTCTTCACCATTCTCTAGGTGAATGAGGTTTCCCACAATTCACCTCTCCAATCCTAAATCTACATCCTGACTGACTATGAATCCTTCAACCAATGGGAACAGAGTTTCCTATCTTCTAGCTAGAGCTCAATTTTATACACTTCAATTAGGTTTCCTCTCAGCTGCCTCTGTTCTAAAGGAAACAATTCAAGCCTATTTAATTTGCCTCAATTAAAATTCTTCAGTCTGGGCAATATTTGCATAAATCTCCTCTGCACCATCTATAGTACAAATACATCTTTCTTAAAATGATAAGTGACCAGTACTTTAAATGGTACTCCAGCTAGTGTCTAACCAGAGATTTATACAATTCCATCATAAATGTCTTAGTTCTTACATTTTCTGCCTTGGCTAATTGAGGACTACAGCTGCTCAAGGTGGCAGTTCACCACCACCTTCTCAAGTACAATTCAGATAGGTAACAAATGCTGGCTTAGCTAGCAAAGCCCACATCATATGAATGAATTTTTAAAAATTAAAGTATCCCAAAGGCCTTCTTGACCATTTTGTTTACCTGTCCAACCATCTTCATGATCTTTTAACATGTTTGTCAAGGTCCAAATAATGATCAGCACTTCTCAGTATACTACCATTTACTGTGCATGTCCTTGCCTTGTTAACCTTCCTCAAATACATTACCTTATACTTTTGGATTGACTTCCACTTACCACCATTCCATCCATCCACCAGGTCCAATGACAAATTCCTGCAGTCTATAACTTTCTTCATTATCAACCACATGGCAAATGTTTGTATCATCTTCAGGCTACCTGATATTAAGGAAGGGTCACCGGACCCGAAACGTTAACTCTGTTTTCTCCTCCACAGATGCTGCCAGACCTGCTGAGCTTTTCCAGCAACTTTGTTTTTGTACCTGATATTAACCCCAACATTAGAGTCAAATCATTGATATACATCATGAAAAGCAAGGAAACTAGCACCTAGCCTTGCCAAACCTCATAAGAATCAGCCATCCAGCCATACAAACAGAATACCACCTTTTGCTTGCTGCCTCCAAACCAAATTTGATGCATCTGCCTTACAGCCAATGGCCTTTTTCAGCCAATCTGCCACACACAGCCTTATCAGAAGCTCTGTTCAAATTCATATGAACAAATGCACCACCCTCGCTGTTACCTCAGAAAAAGTTCAATTAGGCTAGTCAGACACAAACTTTAGTTAACAAATCCACATTGACTTTCTTTGCTTAATTTGAGTTTTTCTAAATGAAGTCCCTCAGAATTGTTTCCAATTTCCCAGCCCATGATATATTTGGTCTAAGCTAGGGATCCCTCTAGGAGTTTAAGCTGCCTCTTATTATCATAAAATGATTTAATGTCACATTCCTCCTCCCGATTGCATAATGTCTGCCTAATACCTTTCTTGCGAAAAGTAAACATTGTAAGTTACCGAACCAACGTCCTGCACCTTCAGGTGTACAGGTTACTAAATGGTTTACTTATTCTTGTGATCTTTACGTTTTTGACGACATGCACGTTAACGTTAGCGAAATTACATTATCACTTTATCATCAAGAAGCAGGACGGGGCCAGCGCGGAGCGGGGTCACACTCCCCTCCGAGACGGGGCCAGCGCGGAGCTGAGTCTCCCGCCCCACCGCCCCACCGCCCCACCGCCCCACCGCCCCACCGCCCCTTCCATCTCCCATTTCCTCCGACTCAGTTCCCCTCAGTGTCGGGGACCACCGCCCCTTCCATCCCCCATTTACTCCGAGTCAGTTCCCCTCAGTGTCGGGGACTCACCATTTTTGCTCTTTTTAGGCCACGTAGCCACGCGGAAAGTGCGTCACACACTAAAACGCCGCTGCAATGCGTTCTGGGTAGTGTAGTCCCTTATTTAAAAACTCGCTTATGCTTCCACTTACACACCAACAGGACACTTTAATAGTTTGCAAACAAGGCAGAATTCGAATCTGGTACCGAATGATCTTTGCCGTTCCGCGTATCGGTGACCGACTACAATCCCCATGGGGCATTGCGGCTCTTGCGCACGCGCAAGCAGCGGATCCGGGTTAATCACGTGAGTGCCTCGCTGATACAGAGAACCCAGAGTGTTACTCCAGCTGAACCAAGAGGGAGTTTGCGGGCACTATTAGAACATGAACACAGAGGTTCCTTGGTGTTCGCCAACACTCTAGAGCAGATTAATAGATGAGCAGGCGAAGAACATACCCAACGCTGCCCTCATCTTGATGACACCTTTGTGTGCGGCTGCATCACGTTGTGCATAGACCCTCAGTACACAAACACCAAGTGTTACCATCTACTGAGATTCCACCAGTCTCTGCTGTTGTGAAGACTGAGACTGGTCTCAATGCAATGGAATGCTCCAAATAGTTGGACCGTTCCATATCACCTGACATTTGTGGAGAAATTTGCAAAGGTAAACATGTTGACCACAAGTTCATCAGGAAGTGGTCAGCATGTAGCGTTCTCGAGACCCTGTGGGAAAAGGAGAGGGTAGATCCTGTCAAGTTGTTAAAAACCAAAAGAACTGCGGATGCTGTAAATCAGGTACAAAAACAAAGTTGCTGGAAAAGTTCAGCAGGTCTGGCAGCATCTGTGCAGAAGAAAACAGAGTTAACATTTCGGGTCCGGTGACCCTTCCTCAGAACCGGACCCGAAACGTTATCTCTGTTTTCTCCTCCACAGATGCTGCCAGACCTGCTGAGCTTTTCCAGCAACTTTGTTTTTGTTCCTGATTTACAGCATCCGCAGTTCTTTTGGTTTTTAACAA